GTGAAATATAAAAAGACGTTGTGAAATGTTATGTCTTAATGTCTCGTCGGCATGAATTACGAATTATGAGCTTTGATGATGGAGTGATTATGCATAGTAATTATCTAATTAACGCGTGGGAAGTACGTTGACTTAAGTAAGTAAGAATTAAACCGTTATAATACTGGCTATAAAAATTAAATAATTAACAGTAATATGTAGGAGGTTGTGAATTTTCGGACACAGAGGTTGTTGTAAAATCTTTATTTTAACGTAGCCTAGAAAAAAAAATCATTGTTGCTACCGAGTTTGTAGGCCGCATTTATTGACCTTTTAGCGTATAAAAGTTAAAAGTAAAGTTACAGCCTATATAACTTCCCACTGCTGGGCATACACTTCCCCTCATTTCTGAGAGAGTTTTAGGGCAAGGAAGTGTCCGCCGTACTACCCTAATGCGTGTTGGCAAACTTCACATATCTTCGAAACATTTTTGTTTCCTCACGATGTTTTCCTTCACCGCCGAGCACGTGGTAAATCAGCACTTAAAATTGCAACACCGATGATTGTCCCCACCTCACTTTGTTTCTTTTAGAATATAGGTAATGTGGTAAAGTGACAACTTTACTGTTTGACATTTTATTAATTAAAATATGTGCTCATACTTGCTAGTACAATTATCACCGAATTTTTATCTGTTACTTACTTTGAGTATTCAACCAACTACTCAAAGGTTACTTATGAGGTCATTAAATATGTTTCTTTGTTTTGTTAAAATACAATATATGCAGTTCTTTTTAAATTATCTTTGTTTGTAATAACGATTCGGCCATTGTGCATGTTTACGGACTTCACATGACCTCGAAATATTTTATTCCTCAGTTAAGCAACTTTTCTAACAATTTTTTTTCTGCCAAGCACATAGTTAGTCAAATAGTCGCACAAGTGTAAAATCAAATACTAATATGTCTATGATAAGAAAATGACTACTATTTTGATGCGACATATAAGTACTGGTCTATGTAGATACGAGACGTAATTTGCTAAATATTGATTTTGTATATTTTAATGTAATGCAGCGAAGATAGTTGCAATTCAAGTTGCTTGCAATTCAAACTTGTTCAAGACCATCCTGCATATGTACTAGATGACTTAGTAATGTCATTAAATTTATTCAAAAACTTTTATACAATCTAAGTTTAAAAAAAATTGTTTTTGCTTATTAGAGAGAATTTCGTCATAGTTTACGTGGTAGCGCCATGCTGCGGCTATATTATAATTGTAACATGTATGGGTCTACTCAACCGGGGAAAGACCACGTTCTCTTAGACTACCAGTGTAAAATGGCAGCTATTTACTGCTGTTTTTCGTATTGTGAAGGTAGAGAACGGAAGACCTCTTTTACTGCAAAAAAAGGCATTCCATCTTAGTCATTAGATGTGACAACGCATCTGCATTTAGATTCATAATCGCGGATAGATGCAGATGCTTTTGGGCAGCATCCACATACCATCAGGCGGACTGTGTGCTCGTTTGTAACTCTTATTCTATAAAAAAATTGCCATGCTTGGCTGGCAGGTGGCAGTTCTGATCAAGAAGATGCCGGTACCCATCTCCTATCTCAGTTTTACTCCATAGGTACTCAGTAAGTCTTTTACGATATCTCGGGACGGACTGCCTGGTTGGTTTAGTGGTCGTAGTAGTGCGACTGTTGATCATGAGTTCTGTTGGCCGAAAAAATACCAGTTATTGTGTATTTCCTTTAAGAAATATAATACGTGGTAGAGCCATGCTGCAGTTATATTAGTAATATAGTTGTAGCACGAATGGGTCGGCTCGACCGGATTAGGACCACGCTCTTACAGAATACCAGCGTGAAATGGTAGCTTGATGCTGCTGTGTTTCGTATAGTGAGTGTAGAGAACCGGCGACCCTTTTTACTGGAAACGAGGCATTCCATCTCGGTCCTCATGGGTGAAAACGCATCTGCATTTTGATTCGTAATCGAGGATAGATGTAGATGTCTAATGAGCCATAGCAATCACTTACTATTAAGTGGACTGTGTGCTCGTTTATCACCCTATCCTATAAAAAAAAAGAAATTCTCAGAAGGCGCCCGGAGTCAGGAAGTTGGCGGTGTCTCACCCCCGTCCCTCGGAAAGCACGTAAAGCCGTTGGTCATGCGCCTGATCTCTCTCCGGTCGTGTCGGTTTACCGTTCCATCTGACCATTAGAGTGAGGGAATAGCGAGTGCACCTGTGAGAGTACACTTGGACACTAAAATCCAGTCCTGCGCCAATGGCTAGTGTCCGTTGAGGAATAGCCACCGTGACCGAAATTTGGTCTGGAGGACATTACCCTCGGGGCGACATGAGATAGTGGAATTTCTTACAGTGCAACTACACACTGTTTTACGGATTATGAAGAAATGTTATGTTAGGTAATAAAATGAAATTTAGATAACAAATTCATGCAAATGATTTAATTGTAGCCGTGTAGTGGCGGTGTAAGCATACCCGCTACCCCACATCGTCCCGTGGTTGTCTTAGTGGGCGACAGAGGAAAATGAAAACAGTAAATGGGCAGCAGCAAATTTCTGATAACCGAATAATAATAAAAAGCTTAGTTGCCAACTCGCTTGCCAAGCGTGGCAACTGTGGCAAAATCCCCTCTATGAAGCAATCTATGCGGGAGGCCTATGTTCAACATTGGCATACTAAGGACACAAATTAATTTATATACCTCTGTACCTTTTTAAAAAGTGGAGTAAATAATTCAAAAACGTGTTTTCTTTTCAAAAAATGTTAATGATACGTTTAGGATTAAAATTTAGCAATTTTGTTACGTGGTAGAGCCTATTGTATAGTTGTGTTGATGGACCACGCTCTCACAGAGTACCAGCGTCAAATAGTAGCTTAAGACGACACATCGAAAAAGTGGCTCCAGACTATCGCCGTACTGATCCGAGTGAATATATAATTTCTTTAAAAACTTGAAAAAACGCCGTCATAAGGTCTAAAATTGCGTAGCGCCCGCGACGATTAAAAGCGCTTAGAAATTGTGAGAATCCTAAAATATTTTTTTAAAAAATTATTGATTTAAGTAATCAAAATAATGAGCAAGTAAATTATGAATATTGATGTTATGAATATATTTGAGTGATTCCCAACCATATAGATTAAGTAATTTCTTTGTAATTTCAACTATAGTGATTTTTTAGAGGTGTTTTCGCAAATAATTATGACCGAGTCAAAATTATACAATCGTGTTTTTGAATAATTAAATTCAAGATAAAGACATGAATTTACCTATATCGAAATTCCACTTTAGTTAGTGGTGTCATAGTCCTATACTATTCGATGAAAGGAGGTGCATTTTTTCGCGGTATCGCCTTAATTTCCACATAGACATGTTACAAGACTTACGAAGTTAAAACTGTCTTTTATCCGAAGAATTGTCCCAATATGTATATAAGACATATAATAAAATCCCCAGGGGCTCACTATCAGGCCCCCACGTCAAAACCGAGTAACCCGTCACGCACGGTTCTATCTGAGTAGGCTCAACTGTATGTTGGGCCGACACACCGTAAAATGTCCCTTAGAAACAAGCGTACCCTTTATAAGGTCCGTATACGACCAGTCATGTCATACGCGGGCCCCGTTTGTGCCTACGCCAACCCTAAAATCATTAATGAACTCCAAATAGTTCGGAAAACCTTTTCTGTCGTCGAGCTGCGAACGCACCTTGGTACGTCCGTAATGCTGACCTTCATCGGGACCTAGAGCGTCCCCACAATCCAACAATTTCTCCAAAAACTCTCTGAGAACTTCTTCAAAGCCTCAGAGTCGCACTCAAATCATTTAATTCGTGAGGCAGCTACTCTATGCAGCCCCACCTTCCCCTCTCGCTATCGAGTCCGCAGGTCCGAGTCCTGGCGGCTCAGGCTTCCAACTCTAATATGTAAATTAAATTATTATTTTATTATATTAACTAATATTAATTTGCCTTCGTAGACACTCCCTCAGCGGCTCGTAGCCGCCTTGCGCCCTCTTTTCTCAAAAAAATCCCCAGTGATATTCGAAAATTGCCATTTAACTTTTTTCAAAAAACATTGAAGCAATGGCCTATTCAGAATTGTTTTTATTCCCCAGATGAATTTTATTGTTATAGATCACAGTGATTTTTAATAGAATCTTGACTTAACTTGATAACTGTTGACATACACACCTTACACCTTAACTTGACGACATTTTTTATTTTTTTATTTTATTTCATTTTGGCATTAAGACTGGATCGAATTTTGTATTATTTCTTGTTTATTGTATATTATTATTATTACTAATGCTGCTATGTTTCGTATGGTGAGTTTAGAGAACCGGAGGCCCTTTTTACTGGAAACGAGGCATTCCTCCTAAGTCCTTACGGATGAAAACCACTCATTTTATTCTAATCAGATAAATGTAGATGTCTATGCCACAGCAACCACTACCAATACTGTTCATCCTATCCTATAAAAATATTCTGTTATACGTACTAAATTTGTAGTCCATATTATGATATACATACTCGTAACTATAAATTTCCTCTCCAACATTTCTCTTCACGAACTGTTTATGTAGGTACTCTTTTACTATGTAGTGATTATTGCCGTATCCGAGCCCACCTCAGACCTTGATGACTGGTTGCTCGTACACTTGTCTTTTACCTACTATAACCCTGTGCAAATTCTGATGGGTTCCTATAACATTCTAAAGCTCTCCTTCTTATTGTAAACGGAAAGAAGAATATCACCATTAGGATTTTAACAATTACGAGGAGATGATTCATTCTTGAATTTACGTAAATGTATTTGTCATACGAGTAATATACATTAACACAAAGTATGACCTATTTTTTGTTAAATCTTCATTTTAAAATAAATAATTGCAAGCTACCAATGGCTTAATCAAAAACAAACTTTGTAAAAATATGATATAATTAAAACAATAAACTAATATAAATTAAAATTAGTAAGTTCTTACCTATAACTTCCACCTCGTCCTCCGTCCTTGACATTTGTGAACAACTTAGCATTATGGCACTTACACAAATCACGTAATTTATTAAATACATTTTACACTATTCTTAATGCAGTTTTAATAAATTATCTTTGTTAATATAAAAAATATCAAACTTTTAATTCTATTATTACAATTAATTATATATTAAAAACTGCTAATAAAAAAAAGATAATTTAAATTATATATGTATGTTGTTAGAGACTTAGAACACAGAGTATTATAATAAATGTTTCTTGATGACCAATGAACATTATGATCTGAGACTGTTTTGTTGAACATTGCAGCTGTATGCGAAAGCCCCCCTACCATAGAATTGCGAGGAGTTGCGACAGAGACCTACGACTAACAACCGACTCTTTTGACATCAATACTTTATCGAGTTGGTTCTGAGTGTACGTATTTCACAATGAAATGTGTTACATACAATTTGGATAAACTGTAAATGGAATGTTATTAAATTTGTAAATATGTATGTGAAAAAATCTTTGATACAACAGCATCTGACTGTTTAGTTGCGGTGTAAGAATGTCGATTACACCATGTCATCCCGTAGGTGGCGTAAGAGGTGAAAGTGAAAAACTGAACCAGGAAGTTGGGAGCAGCATTTTTTTGGATAACAACTCAAAGTTATTAAAAAAAAACTGGCAACTATAGCAATTTCTGTGAGGCTATAATTTACTTTTATAACAAAATCAAGCCGGTTTACAGATGAATGTTTCAGAATTTGATAGATACCAAAACCTTAATAAAATACTTTTGACCAATACAAGTTGCTTAAATAATGCTAAATATAAAAATGACGTGGTAAGGCAACGCTGCACTTATAAACACGAATATGGAATAATATATGTATAGCACGAATGGGTCGGCTCTACCTGGGAAGGACCACGCACTTATAACAGCGTAAAATAAGAGCACGAAAAAGAGTTTCGTATATTAAATGTAGAAAACCGGAGTGCTGCTGTAGTTATGAATTGAGGTAGCGTGGTTTTACTACGTAAAGTTCACGTACAGTATTAAAAGCGTATCGAAAACGTTTACGCTCCCGAGAACTAATGGCTTGAGATCAGAGTTCGGTCGGCTCGATCAAGGATCACGCTCTCATAGAATCGGAGGCGTCGTAAGGCGTGGACGACGTGGGCTACCGCCTACGGCCTCGCGCCCTGGAGGTTATTGCATTACTTAAAACCGTAAACGCATTTTTCTTAGCATTTTCTTTCGCATATACCACGGAGAGTGCTCTGAGGAATTGTTCGGATTAATCGCAGCCGCCAAATTTCATGAACGCACTACGCGGCAAACGTCCCTATACCATCCACACTATCTGGATGCTTGGCGGTCCACCACTGTACGTTTCACAAGGAGTTTTAGGACCTCTCTGTGGAATAGTTTACTACCGGCGATTTTTCCGACCGATACGACCTGGGGACCTTCAAGAAAAGAGCTTACTCCTTTCTAAAGGGCCGGCAACGCACCTGCAATTCCCCTGGTGTTGCGGTTGAGTATGGGCGGCGGTAGTCACTTAACATCAGGTGAGCTGCATGCTCGTTTGCCCACACTTCTATAAAAAAAAAACGCGGCGAAAAAATTTCATTGTCATGAATCGATATTATTGACATAACTAAATATTTTTATTCAGTCTAGTAACATTAGTTTGCGTTACTATTGCGGGGAATCCCCGCTGCGGGGCGACCAGTATATTTACAGTAATCTATGGGGGCGACAAAGGCTGAGGATTCCCGTTCTGTTTGTTAGACATAGAAAACTGACTTTATTTAATCGTGGGCGCGTGACAATCGAGTAAAGAGTGCGGTTCAGCAGCCCAGGTGGTTGCTGTACATATATTTTAGCGCTTTACGCACATGAGTAGAGAAACGGAACAGACACAAAGCTTCTTAAGAACTCGCAAAATTGTTACCTATTTTGGTAGAGGTCACTATAGGTGAAGACGAATTAAAGCTCTAGAACGTTTACGTACATTTTGTGACTGGATTAAAGAATATCGACAAACTTGTTTCGATAATTGCTTGTCTGGTACTTAACAGTTTATTGAAAAAAACTGTTACGATCTGCCAAGACTTTAAAAAAAAGAGTAGCCAAAAAGAAAAAGATGTTGGATTATGAAGCCAAGGATTAATTAACCTTTACAGTCTCCTTAAAGTCGGTATTAAACAGACTTTTTCAACACCATGCTTGTTCAATTATAACAAATATGGATTTGAGATTTATGACTTTAAACTCACATTACAACAATTTTGGTTTCCTTTATGATTTAAACAAGTTAAAAAATAACCCAAACTATCTAATATTAAAATAACTGTCAAGGTTTACACACAGCCCTGCGAGTGGTTGAAAGGAGTGACTTTCAATTATACGAATTATATGAATAATTACAATTAATGATCACTAATTTACCTAACTTCGTAACGGATGTGATACAGCTTCTCCAATACGTTACAGAAAATAATTTAAAAAAATATACCCAAACATTTACATCGTCATTGAACAATACGGATCAGTACATCCTCCGCTAATGGAAGCTTCTTAAAATTAAAACTCGTTAAAATTATCTCAGGAATGCAATGTCACAGAAAAGACTTTCTGTATTGAAAGTTTTATGTATCGAGGCGGATATAGCATCCGAGCTATATTGTGAAGCTATAATTAAACAATTCAGCGGGATAAAAAGCAGGATATCTCTTTTCCATTTTTCTATGAAATTGTTTGGTGTTGGTACTTAATGATTTTGTATGAATAAAAATTTCATAATGTGAAGTTTTTTGTGTTTAATTTTATATAATCCGTCTTCTTGTGCGGGCAGAGGTCCTCGCAAAATATATCTTGCCCACATAAAATTTAGGTCTTGCCCCGCCACTGCATAGAATACCAGCGTAAAACAGCAGAATAATGCGTTAGAATGCGTTAAATATGCTGTGTTTCGTATGGTGACTGGTAAGTAGCGTCTTAGTTGTCAGGGTCGTCGTCGTCTACTAATGATAATTTGTTGTACGTGTACTTTACGATGTACGTAACTTTACGCGTATTATGGCTGCATCATTAGTGGATCGGCTCGACTCGGAAAGGACCACTCTTTCACAAAATATTAGTGTGAAATAGCGGCAAAAGGTTACTGTTTTATATGATGAGTGATGAGAACCGAAATAGAATAGAATGAAATGGAATGGAAATAGAATGGAATGGAAATTCAATGAAACAAAACGGAACTGAAGAGGAGGGAACGGAACTGAATGGAAATAAATGGAACGGAATGGAATGTGTAGAGTGGTATAGAATAGAACTCACTTTTTTATCACAAACAGCTACACAATAATTGATAATATACATGTTGAAATATATAAGCGTATAAGTCACACCACTCGGATTATACATGTTTAAATTACACGTGTAAAAAAATATAGAAGAGATCATTACTTTCATTGAATAAGTTATGACAAAATCGATGTTTAAGTAAAATAAGAAGATTAATTTGATAAATCCATTTTATTTAATGATTTAGATATAAGTTTAATGGCATATATATTTGAAGATATTATAATTTGAAATAACGAGTTTTTAAATTATATTATTTTGTGTGTGATATTATATTTGAGGATGTAAACATCCAGTAGTTTCATAAGTTACAGATCGGAAAACAGGCCTATTAACGCTGGTGTTACATCCCTTTGCGTTTTGTATCGTATCTACCACGGAAAGTGTTCCAGAGAATTGTTCGGATTAGTTCCAACCGCCAAATTTCACGAACGCACATCGCGTCAAAATTCACGGTACCATCCTCACCATCTGCATGCTTGGCGATCGACCACTGTGCGTTTTACTTGAAGTTTTCATCCTCAAACAACTTCTCTGTGGAATTGTTTACCATCGGCGGTTTTTCCGGACCGATATGACTTAGGGACCTTCAAGAAAATAGTTTACTCTTTTCCAAAAGGCCGGCAACGAACCTGCAATTCCCCTGGTCTTGCGGTTGTTCATGGGCGGCCGTAGTCACTTACCATCAGGTGAGCCGCATGCTCGTTTGCCCCCTCTTCTATAAAAAAGATGTTTGCAAACTTTGAAACGTGAAGAATGGTGGGTTAAGGATGGGTGCCTTTTGTACGCCGATCATCAAGTCATATTTGCGTCGTCGTCGGCGGCCGAGTTGCAAATGATGGTTACATTAATGAACTGGTCATTAAAAGAAAGGGCACGCAAGTAAGACGAAAGTGATGGCTTTTGAAAGAGAAGAAAGTAAAATGTTATGTGAAATAAGAAAGGAAGGAGAGTTGATTGAGCAAGTGGATGAGTTCGTGTATTTGGGAAGTGTATTTAACAGGTACGGTAGATATGATAAGGATATAGAACGACGAGTGACTGCAGGAAATAGAGTGAATGGGCTCTATACTCTAATATGACGAGTCAGAATGTGTCAAAAAAGGCACGTATGGTAATTCGTAATGCTGTGTTAATCCCTACTTTAATGTAGTAAAAGTTGTATAGGGAAAGTTGGTGTGGCAGAAGAAGCACGAAAGTAGTAAATGTAAATACTGTAGAAATGCGGTCGTTAAAGAGTATGGTAGGGCTGAATCTGAATGACAGGGTGAGAAATTGGGTGATAAGAGAAAAAAGTGGTGTGCAAGATGATGTTGTGACTTTAGATTAAGAAAGGAATGCCACGGTGGTTTGGTCATGTAGAAAGAATGAGTGAGGAAAGAGTTACAAAGCAAATTTATATTGTGATATGAAGCAAATTTATATTGTGTGGCAGAGTCGAGAAGGGACGCCGTAGACAACAGTTTATCGTTCAAATTGGCAATATTTTGAAAATAGGCTACATTAGGAGTACCCTTAACCGACGAGTTTGTATGCGTAGATATATGAATGTAAACGAGGCGAGAGAGGTATGTCAGGATCGTGCCAAATGGAAATCTGTAGTCTTTGCCTACCCCTCTAAGTAACAGGCGTGAGTGTTTGTGTATGTATTTTTTAACATATTATAATATTACGAATGTGTAC